GATCGGATCTCTTTATTTTTCAGAGTTTTACGGAAATTTTAATTCATTCGAGCAAAGGCTTGTCGTGACACTTTTCATGACTTTAATTTCAGACATCTTTCGTGGACAGTTTTACAAAAAACTACGGAACTCAGCAAAAAACAAATACCTCAGCCATATATTAACTCTATCTTATCTATCAAGGCGACTTTTGTAAACATCACGTTTCAATCAAGGAAACAGGAAGACTTGAATGACACCTTATCGGTTCGCTTAAGTCGCACACGCCAAAACCGATCAAATTCAAGGTAAATTTTCGAAAAAGTGAGGTGTTCTTAGCCTCGATAGATAAGATAGAGTTAATATACATGGCTGTGGTATTTGTTTTTTGCTGAGTTCCATGGTTTTTTTGTAAACTGTCCTCCAAAGTTTGGCAAGGACTGTCACGACAACGATTTCTTCAAAAACAGCCAATGATCTTACGATCTCATCGACGATTCATTCATTTACAAAGATTTACCTCTGTTCATTAAGTAAATGGCGACGAAAGTAATTGTAAGTAGATTCAAAATTTGTAATTCAAAGTTATGAGAGTTTGCTCAGGATTCCGACCCATGACCTCTTTTCACAAAAGTAACAAGGCTTAATTTGTTTCGGTTTTTTGACTGACGTTTAACTCAAATGTAACCGTGGGGCATGATAATAGAGTAATGTAACGAAACCGTAAGCACGACCTTTGTCGGATTTCTGGCGTTGGGTGCGGATAAATGCTTCTCAAAGAATGAAGAATGAAATTCATTCTGATACAAATTTTGCTGTATAGTTGAGTATTTTTGCTTTTATGTATGGCGTTACTTACAGGTTGAAGAAATACGTGTCCTGGGTCTCCCAGTTAGGATTTTATATTATGAAATGTGTACGCGCGCTCCTATTGATTGATTTGGGAGTTTAGATGTGAGAAAGTAAACACAACCGTGAAGTCACACTATTTGTGAGAAACACCTCAAAGCTTTTGCAACAGGCAAAGAAAATTTAAGAGAAATATTAAGGCAAAATAATGAAATTCAAGGCTTTGCCCACTTCGATGATCGTAATCTGGACGACTTCGTCTAGGGAGCTTAAGCAAAGATGAAGTTAACAATTTCCGAGGTAATTTTCGAGAATTCCTCCAACCCAAGAGTTAAGGTGAGGCTATACAAACAGAAAAATTCCCTTATTGCTTGAGCAATGCGCACTGACTGATTGTACAAAATGTACAGAATAAATAATATTCCTAGAGCTTGTTAAAGCTTCTAGCTTTTGCAAATTTTACACTCAGCGCAAACAAGAAAATAGGAAAAGACACGAATCTCAGAATTTTTATAATGTCCTACGTGTCTTGCAGAAACAATACCTATATCAAAGCTTTTTGGGAAAATAATTAATTTCACGTGAGTGAATTTAACAAGCAGGGAATCGACCAATGAGAGAAATTTTTCGAATCATCCCTGTATCTTTTCCTTGCTTCAGTGAATTTATTCTTTACGCCCATAGCTATTTGTGAGCTCTCTTCAAGTCTTTGACCGTACCCTCATTAACAATTTATCTCCTGGCTAATTGAAGACTTTTCCATAAACACAACAAACTCTTTGTAAATCATCGATGGTCTCTAAATGCTTGGAAAAAAAAATTTTCTTCGAAGAGATTATTGCCTCATCAGTCCCGCTATGCTATTTTACGTTCTGCGTGCCACTGTCGCAATTCAATTCCTTCAGGACCTTCTGCGACACAATTTCTTTTCGCTGTGACTCGACAGGCACGAACTTATATTTGAAGAATCGTCATGCAGTCCCAGCTAAAAAGTGCAAACTCCGGTAAGCAAAAAGTTGCATTATACGCTAAAGGCAATCTTCTTTTAGAGCAATTGAGCTAATTTTAATTTCATGTTCGTTTCATAATTCTTATTGAAATCGTTCTGTTCTCACAGTTGTGAGAAAAGAAGTCTTGATCTGAGAAACTGGCTGAGGTTCCTGGGAGACAACTGTATTCGCTATCTCGTTACTAAGGCAAAGATACGGAGCAAGAAAGAGAGAGGGCTTTTTTAGACTTCGAAAAGAAGACTTTGAGTGACAATCAAGGGCTTATTGTAAAATTAGTATTGAATGGGTAAAAGATTAGAAAAAAAAGGAAAAAAAAATTCTGATATGACCTGAACTGTTCTCTGGCCTTTACTTTTTTATTTGTGGGCGCATGCTACGAGAAAAAAGAAAAATTACGCTTTTCACAGAATTTAAATCATTTTTCTGAAATTCTAGCTGTTCTAAACTTATGTGGGTCCTTTGTTAGATTGACAGAGTTCGAACTTCGATGCAAAGTATAGTACGCGGTGTCTTAACAATTTTTGTGAACTTTTGTTTACGGTTCGTGGCCAGACTGCTAATTGGCTTTACGCAAACTTGGAGCCAGAATGTTCTGTAAAACCCCAATTGCAATATTAACGCAATTTTCCTTTTTTAAGAATGTTGACCACATTATTTTCTCTCTTACGAAGAAGGCAATTTTGCGAATTTCAATGGAAACGAAGTTTTGGGTTCTCGGCTGGTTCCTCTGCATCCTAACGATGGTTGAAATTGATTTATCATCTTCCTCGTCCGTAGTAAACGTCAGCCTCGTAACAAAACGAACACATTCATCATGCAGGTAATTTAATCAATCGCTCTGACGAAGGGCTAACGCTCGAAACGTCAGCTTTTTTACCCTTTACAGTGGCTAATTTACAAATGTAAATTAATTAACGCTTTTACCATTTTTAATCAGCTCTCATGCATGGTACTTTTGACAAGCCCATGCATGCGCAAGGTTATTACCTTCCCTGGTTAACAAAGCATAAAGTTTAAACATAAAAAGATCTAAAACGCATGAATCAAACAAAATAACCAGAATTCCACCTCTCAGAATTTTCATTTTCCATAAACAGTTAATTATAGTCACTGTGCGAGACAATTTCTCAAAGAAGTAGTTAAAATACGGGAGGACACGATGCCATCGTGATGTGGTCATGGTTAATAAAAAACATTCCGCATAAACAACAAAAAAGACATTCCGCTTCGATGGTCACTTCACAGAGATGTTTTTTAACTTGGAGAAGGAAAGAAGTACTGAATGGGTAAAATATTTATCAAATAAAAACGAAAAAACCTTATGATATCACCTGAACTGTTCTCTGGCCTCTACTTTTTTTTTTTTTTTTCATTTGAGGGAGGGTGCTACGAGAAAGAAGAAAAATTACGCTTGCTACATAATTTAAATCATTTCTCTGAAATTCTTGCTGTACTAAACTTATGTGGGTCCTTTGTAAGATTGACAGAGTTCGAACTTCGATGCGAAATATATTACGTGAATTATTTTAAATTTTTATTTTATTCTTTGTGGCCTTTACGGTTCGTGGCGAGACTGCTAATTGGCTTTAAGCAAATTTAGTACGCTGGTACTATTTTTAACCAGCTCACACGCATGCAACTTTTACAAGCCCATGCATGCTCAAGGTTTTTAACTTCCCTGGTTAACAAAGCGTAAAGTTTAATAAAGAAAATTATAAAACGCATGAATCGAAGAAAACAATCAGAACTTTTCTCTGCCCTCTACTTTCTTATTTGAGGGCGGATGCTACGAGAAAAAAGGAAAATTACGCTTGTCACTGAATTTGAGTAGTTTTTCTGAAACTCAAGCTGAACTGAACTTATATGGGTGATTTGTAAGATTGACAGAGTTCGAACTTCGATGCAAAGTATATTACGTGCTGTCTTTTAACTTTTTATGAACTTTTGTGGCCCTTACGGTTCGTGGCGAGACTGCTAATTGATTTTATGCTAACTTAGTACGCTGGTACTATTTTTAACCAGCTTTCATGCATGAAACTTTCGACAAGCCCATGCATGCTCAGGGTTATTAACTTACTTGGTTAACAAAGCATAAAGTGTAAATGAAAAGATTGTAAAATGCACGAGTCGAAGAAAAAAAGCAGAACTTTTCTCTGGCTTCTATTTTGTTATTTGAGGGTGTCTGCTACGAGAAAGAAGAAAAATTACGGTTTTCACAGAATTTAAATCATTTTTCTGAAACTTTAGCTGTCTTAAACTTATGTGAATCTTCTGTAAGATTGACAGAGTTCGAACTGCGATGTAAAGCATACTAAATTTATTTTATTTAAATTTTTATGAACTTTTGTGGCCTTTACTGTTCGTGGGCAAGACTGCTTGAGAGATGACGCAATTTGTTTTGTCAGAAAAGGAACATAGGTGCATTTCGAGATAGTTCTGAATACCTTTATAAAACCAACTGATACTTGAGGAATCATCATTCGCACGCAAATACCTTGAGAACGTCAAGTCACTAGCCGTGTTTACAGAAAACTACTTCTATGCGCAATACAGGTGAGCAGAGTTTCACTTTTAACTACAAACTTAAAGACAATTTTGCCGATACTAATTAAATACTTCACCAAAATACTCCAAATAAGAGTTTCAGTTGCTATCTTGGAGAAAGGTTTCATTCTCAAAAGCAATTGAAATGAGAGCTGTTCAACAAGAAGTGTGTTCTGGTATCCTTAGATGACGCGTTTTAGCCTTCACTAACATATTTTCATCTCAAAAGGAAATGAATCATATCCTATACAGAATTTGCGACACATTTCGAATCGCGTTTGGCCAGAAAAATAACAACTTTGTGCCAACTTTCGCTGTTTAACTTTCGTAAACTGAAAACTCACAAGAACTGGCCACAAGTGTCCCAGTCCTAGTGTGCGAATGCTCATAGAAAATTTACATCTCGGGAGACCTGGAAGCTGTTTCTATTCAACTCTCCCGTTGATAGGAAAAATGACAGGAGAAAGAGAATCCCGAGGATTCAGCCGCATAATCACTCATTTTTCATGCACTGGTCGGGGTATTCCACTTTTATCACTGGTACTTTTCACTAAGCGCTGATGGTGGAAGAAATTCATTAATTGTAAAATCATTTGTTCCTTTTGCCTTTTCTGCCGCACAGGGTTGTGTCTGTTGCAAAGAATTGTGAGTTAAAGCAAGCAAAAACCTCAGCAAATAAAGGTAAGCCCTAAATAGTTTAAATACAATTGTCATCGGTAAGAGTGGACGATGAAGCGGAAGGTGTTAAACATATCACTTTCGTGAGCTAAGCTAAAGGCACTTACGTTTTTATGCAGTACTTATCAAATTGACGTCTTCAGGTTCAATTTCAAGAATCTATTTTGTCCTTTAGTTCTGCGGCATTTTGATCTCGGATCAATTTGATCTCGGATCATTAAACTCGTCAATTCCCAAAAAGCTGACATGACTCGTTTGCGGCAAACTTTCGTGTTAAAAGGAATACTAAAGTAAGGCAAACACGTCATGTTCGAACTTGCTAAAAACGGAAGCATAACTCGAGGTACGCGCAATTTGTTTTGGGAAAGAAGAAAGAACAAAGATAATTCGGTTACAACCGGATAAATATGCTTCTCATATATCACTGAACCAGTGTCCGAGTAGAGTATGTTTTGAAACCTACTATGATGCAGATTGTTACTGCTGCATGGCGTGAAGTTGCATCTAATAAAGGTGCCAATGCGATTAAATTTTTCACTTTGGTGACCAAATCCTTATAATTAGTGGCCAAATTGACGACTAGAATGTTCTATCATAACCTTACCAAGAGATATAGTGAATTAAAAAGATTTGCAAGGATAAATTCGCGGCAAACTTCCTCGTTAAGTTTGTTTCCAAAACGCAGCACATGCATCTCGATGGATAACTAGACGCGATCTTGGATTAAGGTGAGCTTGAACGTTGTATATCATCCATCCTAGAGTCCACTTTGTGGCACGTTAAAGATCTTTTCAATAACTTAATTTTGGAGGGTCTATCTAGATCGATGACGGCGTAAATGAAGGTTTTGTTTGTGTTTGAAAATGGCGACCAACTCGTTTTGAATCGGCTATCACCTTGAAGAATTTAGGAGCCAAGTGGCCATCAGAAAAAAAAATAATTTCACGCCCTGTGCTGTGCTTTTGGCCCCTTGTTTTCTATTATCAAATATGTTTCCGATATGGTTTAGAATATTTGGAGCTTAACTTTTAGAGTGCATCTGCGGCCGCACTAACATCTAGCAGATGCCAAGCCCGATTTTTCTAATTTTTATTGTAGTATTAAGAAAATTGAAGACGGAAACCTTTGCGAAATTTGCCTCTTAAATTGCGAAATAACTGCTATCTTTACATTAAAAAATGGCCGCCAAGAGTTGTCCACCAGCGGGGAAAAATGTAGTCATAGTCACAGTAGCGCAAACTTATTTGTTTGTTTGATATCGAATATATCGCTAAAAATAAGAAAATTCCTACAGGAACCAGGAGTTTTGAAAGATATTTAATACTGCGAGCAACGACGCGGAGAGATAAGTTTAATTGCTTGCCATGAGAAACTAACGAGAAGGTTCGAGCTCAGCATTGGCGGCCCAAGGTCCAGCGAGGTGATCATATGCGTAAGAAGCGTCCTGCCGAAAATAAAAGAGTTTGTTTGGGAATATTTGCGACCACTCTTAGGAGGTTAAAAAACCGTGAAATTTGCAATAAAAAATGCCTCACTTACTTCCACAGTACATCGCTTGTTGTCTGAACGCTTACTTTGTTAAAACGAGGTCATTATAGCGAGTTATCCATTTCTAGGTTTCTTACTCTTTAGAGAAAATATGGTTGCAAACTCCATTTCCGAACAGCTGTACCGAGAAGCGAAAAATCCAAGCTCAAAATGACTCAGCGGCCACAAATCCAACGCAGAATTCTGCCAAATTTCAATTCTCTACCTACTCAATCCTGCCCGTGGAACCGACGCCAAGCCGCTGTTTGCTTCCAAAATTTCCAGTTTACACATTTCTAACGACCCGCGTACACATTCACGACGACACGCGACCGTTTAAACCAGCTGGATTGATACCAACTATCGGCGTAGACTCTTACTTTCCAAGAGCTGTCATAAATATTCTTATGCAAACTCTTTCATTTTCGCTCAGCTGGAGCTTGGGCCACCTGTGAGCTCAGAAGCAGTAATGCGCGTCAGGTATGTGCCTCAAACCACAAAGGCCACATAGAGTTCACTCAACATAAGGAAGATGGCATGAAATGTTTTTCTTGCACAATTCAGACTCTATAACTATTGCAAAAATAGGCAAAGAAGTCAAGCAGCAATAAGGACATTATTAGTATGATTCGAATTTCTAAAATGACGCAAGTCACCAGCCCCATTCTAATGTAGTCATGGAAGGGAAACTTTTCGCTTGAACAATAATTGTTAAGTAATAAGTATTAATAGCCGCACGAGCTGCATGTATTGTCCGATATCGCTGTCCCAATGAAATCGAAAGGATGAATGGTCACAACTGCATAACAAAGGCAATTTTCTTTCTACCTTAAAAAACAAGAATCGATGATGAGTTAAGCCGTATCTAGGACTGAAAATATTAACTTTTATTATGTTTTTTAGTTACTTTGAGAAACCAAGATATGAACATATTTTATGAGTTTTTCGATGGGAGATAGAAAGTAATGATAAAGGAATATCAAAAATCAATAATGATAAAAAAACTAAAATCTTAGACAATCTTGCTTCTTAATTATCACTTTTTCCAATTGCTCTTTAATCGACCAACTAACACCATTCAACCTCTACGTTAGGAGGCAGCCGTGAACCCAAATCCTAGAAAGTTTCTGTTGAATCCATACCATAAATTTTCTCAGAAAAAAAAAACTCAGCGGTCTCTAAGAAAGTGAATTTTTAGTTGATGCATAAACTAAACACTTCCCTTAGATCTTCAGGACATCCGGTTGTGGATCCATCCGTGTTGTATTTGTTTTTATCTTAAAAGATATGTAGTTGGAAAGCTTTTAATAGAGAGATTACTCAACTTTAAAAATACAGCATTAATATTGCATTTCCTTCTACAATTTACCCCTTAACTTAATTGATGTTTATGTTAGATGAAAGTTTCCAATAAAATAGAGATCACTCAACTGAGCAAGAATATAGTATTGATACTAATTTTATATTTTTTAGAAGATTTAAGACCACACATGGAATATATCGAGCCTTTACTTTGCTGAAAGAGATTTTCTTTGAAACACTAAAATATGTAAAAGATAAAATGAAGTAAGTTGCGTTCGCAGCCGTAAATATATAATTTTTTTTAATAGGTGGAAGGAAAAATTGGCTTGTGACGAGTCTGCGGTAATAATTCTTTGCACCCAAAGGATTCTTCTAAGAAGGTTAATAATTCAGCCAGTGCGTGAATGTAAGTTAATAAAGTCATAAATGGCTATAAGAGGTAACTTGAGAAAGGAAGGAAATTTGGAATTGCTTTTTTATGAAAATTGTGGGTCGCAGCAGCTGGCTCAGGAACGCCCTATATGAATACAAATTATTTTTTAATATTATTTGAGTAATTTTCGTAATGAATATTTTTGGTAATAACAATTCCCTTTGGCTATAACAAAAAAACGATCTAAAAAAAAACCTGATAAAATTTCAATACAAAACTGGAAAGCTTTGGTTTCTTGGTATGTTCCTAACATAGAATCGTAGGGTGTAGGCTGATCGATCATTAATGTCAATTAAATCTGGAAATAATGTCCTAACATCCATCAATAAATTACATATACACAACTATGAATTCTTATAATTACTACTTCTGAAAACCATCTCTTTCTGACAAAGATAACAGTTCAAGAAAAGTCCTGATATAAATTCAACAAAAACTAACAAGTTTTTGTTTCTCGGCTGGCTCCTAACAAAGACATCGTAGGGCATTAATTGGTGGATTGAAAATATAATCGTTGACAAAAGCAGTAATTAAAGGGAAGTCAAGTTTATTTTGAATTTACGTTACGATGTTAATAACTTGTAAACTCAAGGCATTTTAGGCTTAAGGAAAGTGTGTGTGTTCTGTGGTGTCCAAATATAAACAGAAACAAGCCTGTTACAAAATTCTCCGGCTCCCTTTTTAATTGAATTCTGCACGAAAACATTGTTTGATGGGGTAGCCAAGTAAAGACATCAAGTCCGAGTTGTTTAGCTAAGCTCCAACGTCGACGGTTGCTATAAACAACAGGTAACATAGGTGTTAGATAAAAACAAGACGTCAATGAAAAGGATAAGATATAATGGATTTTAATGAGATGGGGTGCATTCGGTTGCAAGATTGCATAAAAAAAAAAGAAAAAAAAACCAGTGGGAACAGCAATCATCCCAAGACAAACCAGCCAGATACTGTGTGGATGGAAAGGAACCAGCGGCTGAGGACCGAAAACAACGTCTCCATTGATTATTTTGAAATAGGCTATCGAAATGACCCTTAAGAAACGAAAATATAATTCATAAGAAGCTAACAAGGGGTCGTTTTGACGCCATATAGATTCTAAAAGCTTGTAAATAAAAAGCTTTGCATAAGTTCTTTCATCAAACTGCAAGATTCTTGTACAAAACAAGTGTGCACGTACAAAGCGGACGTGAAACTGCTCTTATCGTTTAATGATATAACATGCTGGTCTGAACCAAATGTGAATTTTCTTAGTCCTTCCATTTTAACGATACTTTTACTCAGAATTTTAGCTCGTATTACCGGGATATTTCCCATTAATTGTTCTGTTTGGAATGGGAAATGGATGAAGAAAAATCTCTATGTTTAATCTAAACATAGAGATTTTACATTGAGGCCTCACTGTTCTGGAGAAAGCGTTATTTTATGAAACCAACACCGTTCTATTAGTTTCCGTTTGAATAAGAAAGAAAAAAGCTGTTCTATTGCTGAGCTGTTTTCCGTTACTGAATCTCCATTTCCATCTTGACTGTCAACAAGTTTTTGGAACCTGGTGTGCCCAATTCAAGCCGATTCGTTGAGAAATTGAAAATTCGACCCTTAAACTTTAACTCCTGTTCAAGAAACTGTTAAAATCGGCAAAAAAAATCATTGGACTACTTTCGATAGTTAGGTTAAAATCTTAATTTTAATTTTTTCTTGAAATATTTATTAACACTGGTGCTTCAAATTTCCAAATAAGCTTACTAGCATGAAACTCATGGCATGCCTGGTCATGGCCAAAGTTAGGAAACTGTCAGGGTGACAAAACAAAACTAGAGAAAAACAAAACTGCGGGAGTCAAACAAAGTTACAGAAATTTTTAATAGGATTCATTGTTAATAAAAATTGCTTAAGAAAGCGGCTTTATTCACGCTTCAAGATGTCTCTCAAACACATAATGATTCAGTCTATAAACAAGGACTGTATGTACTCTTTCACGGTCATAGTGACAAATCAGCAAAACAGAATTAATGGTATTCTGTTTTGAATTGGAAATGCGTTGAAGCAAAATCTTTACGTTCAAACTAAACATCTTCGACTTTACGTTGAGGCCTCGCTGTTCTGGAGAAAGCATTATGTTCTGATACTAACACCGTTTCATTCGTTTCCATTTGAATATGAAAGAGAAACTATTTTATAGCTGTTATGTTTTCTGTTACTGAATTTCCATTTCCATCTTGACTCTCAAGAATGTTTTTATGGCGGATTTAAGCCGATTCGTTGAGAAGTTAAAATTCGACCGTTAAACTTTATCTTATGTTTGAGAAAATGTTAAAATCGACAAATCATTGGACTATTCATTAACACTGGTGCTTCAAATTTCCAAATAAGCTTACTAGCATGAAATTCATGGCAAGCCTGGTCATGGCCAAAGTTAGGAAACTGTCAGGGTGACAAAACATAAAACTAGAGAAAAAAAAAACTGCAGGAGTCAGACAAAGTTAGGTTTAAATTTAAATTAAAATTTTGTCTTGAAATATTAATTAATACTGGTGCTTCAAATTTCCAAATAAGCTTACTAGCATGAAACTCATGGCAAGCCCGGCCATGGCCAAAGTTAGGAAACTGTCAGGGTGACAAAACATAAAACTAGAGAAAAGACAAAACTGCAGGAGTCAAACAAAGTTAGTTTTAAATTTAGATTAAAATTTTGTCTTGAAATATTAATTAACGCTGGTGCTACAAATTTCCAAATAAGCTTACTAGCATGAAACTCATGGCAAGTTTGTTCATGGTCAAGGTTGGGGTCATAGCTCAATTCTCAACACGCAAAAAAATTCAAGAAAAAATATAATGTCAAAATAAATGACTTCAAGGCTTTGCCTACTCCGATGATCGTAATCTGGACGACTTCGTCGAGGGAGCTTTAGCAAAGACGATAGATGTGCAACAATCTATGCAATTAACAATTTCCATAGTAATTTTCGAGAATTCCTCCAACCTCCCAAGTATTTAGATGAGAATATGCAAACATGAAAAAATTCCCTTATTGCTTAAGCAGTGCATGCGGACTGGTTGTAAAAAATGTACAAACAACGTTATGATATTCCTAGACCATGTTGAAACTTTCAGCATTTCTACATTTTACACGTAGCGCCAACGAGAAAGTAGGAAAAGACGCCAACCTTAGAATTTTTGATGTTGCCATATGTGTCTTGCAGAGTCGATACCTATATCAAAACATTTTGGGAAGAGAATTCATTTCACGTAAGTGAATTTAACAAGCATGAAATCTACCAACGACATAAAGTTTTCGAATCATTCCTGTATCTTTTCTTTGCTTCAGTGAATTAATTCTTCGCGTGCATAGCTATTTATGATCTTCTTTGGAGCGTACCCTCATTAACAATTTATCCCTCGGATCGAGTAGGAACATCAATCATCCAGAAATCAGCCAGCTATCGCGAGGATGGAAAGGAACTAGCAGCTAAGTACCGAAAACAACGTTTCCATCGATTATTTGTAACAGGCTATCGAAATGACTCATAAGAAACGAAAGGATTTTTTATAAGAAGGTAACAAGGGGCCGTTTTGACGCCACATAGATTCTTAAAGCTTTTAAATAAAAATTCCTGAGTAAGTTCTTTCATATGCTTGCACAAAACAAGTGTGCAAAACTGCTCTTATATGAAAAAGACAACTTTTAATGATGGTCTGAGCCAAATATGAATTTTCTTGGTCCTTCCATTTCCACGATACTTTATTCAGAATTTTAGCTCGTATTACCGAGATATTTCCTTTAAAAGTTCTGTTTGGAATGGGAAATGGATGAAGAAAAATCTTTATCTTTAATCTAAACATGTTCGATTTTACATTGAGGCCTCACTGTTCTGGAGAAAGCGTTATTTTATAAAACTAACACGGTTCTATTAGTTTCCGTTTGAATAAGAAAGAAAAAAATGCGATGAAGCAAAATCTTTACCTTTAGTCAAAGTAAAAAGCAAAATCTTTACGTTCAAACTAAACATCTTCGACTTTACGTTGAGGTCTCGCTGTTCTGGAGAAAGCATTATGTTCTGATACTAACATCGTTTCATTCGTTTCCATTTGAACAAGAAAGAGAAACTATTTTACTGCTAAGCTGTTTCCCGTTACTAAATTTCCATTTCCATCTTGAATATCAACAATGTCTATATGGCCGATTGAAGCCGATTCGTTGAGAAATTAAAATTCGACCGTTAAACTTTGTCTTATCTTCATGAGACTTTTAAAATCGACATAACAAATCATTGAACTACTTTCGATAGTGAGGTTTAAATTTAAATTTAAATTTAAATTTTGTTTTGAAATATTAACACTGGTGCTACGAATTTCCAAATTAGCTCACTAGCATGAAACTCATGGCAAGCTTGTTCATGGTCAAGGTTGGGGTGACAGCTCAACAAAACTTAAAAAATAGATAAAAAACAAAATTGCAGGAGTCAAAAAAAGTTAAAGGAATTATTAATACGATTCATTATACAAGACAAATGCTAAAGAAAGCGGCTGTATTCACGCGCCGAGATGTCTTTCAAACACATAATGATTCATCCTGCAAACAAGGACTGTATGTGCTCTGATTTGGTCATGGTAACAAAACAACAAACAAAACTCATAGTGTCAAAACAACTCAGACTCCATATCAAAATAACCATATCGCCGATCTAACGAATGTAAGAGGTAATTTTTCACTATTTCTTGAAAAAAAAAAAGGAATCGGGAAAAAGAAATGAGTGAGGGGTAAGGAAGCGTGCATTATTAAGCGGAATCAGTGAACTCACAAAAACCTTTACTCGGCTGTCACAAATTCTGTTACGGTCAAAGGCAACTCTCTTTTTGAAATTTTATCTCTGTAAATGGTACATATTCATCAGGGATCATTAATGACGCAAAAAATACCTGGAAAACCGCAACAGAAAGAATTCTGTAAAATAATCGATCATACAGCAGGGTAACCTTGCCGATGAATTTCACTGCCCATTAAAAAATTAATGACTGAATGGAGAAAGCAAAGTCTCTACCACTCCTTCTCACCACCTATGCTTTTAGAAACTCATGTTCTGATATTCTGCCAAATTGTGCCAATCATATTGAATCTATGAGATGATATTTTACAAAGTATTTAACAAGCCTTCTATAAAAGTCAAAGAAAGAGGTTGCTTTCCACTTAAAATTCTCCACATGTTGTGTTGCTCGAGATAACTTATGTTGAAAGTTTGGTCTTTTACTGTCTTTGTGAAGTTGCCCTGCGTGAACCCAAAATAAATTAAATAAGTCATTATATTACTACAGCTTGAAGGAGATAGGAAAAATTAAATAAAAAATTAGTGGGATTTCCGATTGGGAAATAAAAGGGTTAACACTTTACAAGTTGTTGCACTAAATTGTGCTCATTGAAATAATGAGTACTGAGTAGAAAGTCAAAAGGCTCCCTCTCAGAAACGCTTCTCTACAAACAGAAAACTGTCAGAGAATCCTCAAAAACACTCAAAGACAACTACAAAACATCTCAAAGCTTTCGCAACACGCAAAAAAATAAATTAAGAAAAATATAAAGGCAAAATACGTGACTTCAAGGCTTTGCCTACTTCAATGATCGTAATCTGGACGACTTCGTCGAAGGAGCTTTACCAAAGACGTGCAACAATTTACGCAGTTAACAATTTCCATGGTAGTTTTCGAGAATTCCTCCAACATCCCCAGTGTTTAGTGGAGGCTATGAAAACATGAAAAAATTCCCCTAATTTTTAAGCGATGCGCGCTGAGTGGTTGTAAAAAATGTACAAATAACGTTGTGATATTCCTCGATCTTCCTGAAACTTTCAGCTTTTGTACATTTTACACGTAGCGCCGACGAGAAAATAGGAAGAGACGCCAATCTTAGAATTTTTGATGTTGTCCTACGTGTCTTGCAGAGTCGATACCTATATCAAAACTCTTCGGGAAGAGAATTCGTTTTACGTGAGTGAATTTAACGAGCATGAAATCCACATATGACATAAAGTTTTCGAATCATCCCTGTTATTTCTTTGCTTCAATGAATTAATTCTTCGCGTGCATTGCTATTTGTGATCTTCTTTGGAGCGTACCCATTAACCATTTATCTCTCGGCTCAGTGAATACTATACCATAAACACAACTCACTCTTAATAAATCATCGATGGCCTCAAAATTCTTATAAAAAGAAATCTTCTTCGAAAAGATTATTGCGTCGTAAGTCCCACTGGGATATTTTGCATTTTGCGTGTCATTGTCGCGATTCAATTCCTTCAGGACCTCCAGCGATGCAATGTCTTTTCATTGTGACTCGATAAGCATGCACTTTTACCTGAAGAGTCATCGTACAGTCCCAGCAAAATAGTGCAAATTCCGGTGAGCAAAAAATTGCATTTTACGCTAAAGGCAATTTTCTTTAAGAGCAATTGAGCTACTTTAAATTTCATGTTCGTTTCATGATTCTTATTGGAATCGTTATGTCCTCACAGCTGTAATAAAAGAAGTCATGATCTAAGAGAGTGGCAGGGGTTCCAAGGAGACGTCTATATTCGCTATCTCATTACCCAGGCAAAGATACGGAAGAGAAAAGAGAGAGGGATTTTTTAAAGTTCGGAAAGAAGACTTAAAGTGACAATCAAGAGCTTAGATAATGAAGAAGACAAAGAAGCACATGTCGTCACCAGACCCCAAACGAGGCCATCATGTTATTAACAATGGTGTGAAGGACATATACCCTGACATTTTAAAAGGTTTTGTCGATACATACAGCAAAGCCTTTTTCGGTAGCAATAACTATAAAAACCTTGGAGAACTGGGTATCATGAACGAGCATGGTCTGCCGGTAGACTGCGTGCTTGGGGTCGCACCTTTGCTTCCTAATACACATACAGGAATACAAAACAGCACTGTGTACGCTCCAGGAAGAGAGAAACACACGAATTATGGAAACGCTGTAAAATTCGGTTTGGCTAAATTAGGCCTTTTAACCAGAGTCAATATCTTAATGCATGATATTTGCAGATCACTCAGAGACAGAAAAGAAATGCCAAACGATCTTGATGAAAAAATGGGTGAGCTCCGTCAGTTCATCAGTGACGAATTTAACAGAGATGTGTTTGTTGATGAACAAGCTAAAGGTTGGTGGGAGAAAGAAAGAGGTCGAGGTGGCGCCAAAAGGCTCGAAGACTGGACACAGGAAGTGGAGAGAATGTTAATGAAAATAGCAGGCGAGGACAATATACAGCTTGTTGTACATTGGGGACAATGGGCTTTTCGTGTGGCACAGGGATTCAAATGCAGTCATGTGAAATCAAAAGTAGAATACTAAATAAGTCTTTGTCATTCATACTTCAAATGAAAACACTGTAGGATTAGTTGTGAATAAGTAATTGGCTTGAGGGAGTCAATAGTACATCAGTGTTACGTTGGAAGGAATCAATTGTAAATTGATGGTTGGCTTGAAGGAATCAATTGTAAATTGGTGCTTTTCTTGAAGGAATAAATTGTTAAGTAACGGATCGCTCTATGGGATCAATTATAAATAAATAGTTCGCTTAAGGCGGAATCAATTTTTGAATCAATGGCTTGTTTGATAGCTGCTTGCAGCGAACCAAACCTTTAACGCCAGCCTCACCCCCACCCCTTACCCCCTTCCCTCCCCGCCAAAAGAAAAACAAAACAGAAAAACAAAAAGAAAACATTAAAAAAACAAAATTAGGACACGTTGATGGTCACAAATAAGACAATGTAACAGAGAGGCCTCTTCTTGCTTAATTTTCCCACTTCTTAAAACGTTGTACAGCGGTGTGCCGATTTGTAATGCGCACAGCATAATAGCTGTCAATAGAGAATGTTAAAAAAAATAATGATCAATATCAAGTAAGCCAATCACGAACTACTTTAGGTTAGTTTTTTATTAATCGAGATTAATGAATACCTTTTATCTATTGAATAACCTGGACCAGACTGTTAAAACAGGCAACGCAGATTGCTTATAGGACCGCAGCTTTCGCAATTAGTGCCGTTATGTGATATCTTTGGCCTTAAATTCGGGCAGCATAATCTCGGAAGAAATGCTATCGATTTCGCCGATATGATCGCTGGAGCCAGTCATATTAGGTGTCAAATGACTGTAAGCGATGAACTCTTTCTAAAAAGATAAGAAATAACTTAAATAAACGAAAAAAGCTCCTTGCGAGTCCATCGGACACCGGGTTGTTTGATATCCTCAAAAAGGCGCCAATTATTTTTTTCCAATATTTGTGCATCTTAGTTTAATATTGATAAGCTTTTACCTTCGTCGATGAACTAACAACAAATGTTAAAAGTACTTAGAAATGTATTTCGGCTAGGTAAGCGTAAGTTTTAAGCGTAAGAATGGCAAAGGAGAGACTATTTCCACCAATGTTCTTCGTAGTCGATGATTCTCGAAGACCCCAGTCAATTTAGTGGTGGCTTTTAGCGTTTTCTCGATCGGAAATTGTAGTTCTGCTGAACAATTTCATCATACGGTTCTATCAATCAAGTGGATCACGGATCACGCTGGTTTTCATTTTGAAAACTTCTCACTAACTGAGTTGAGGGCGTAGTATTTTTATGTCAAGTTCGATAGCTACTATTCTTTTGACAAGCTAAAAATTATGGTGAAAAAAAAGAGTCTAATCTGTGGCAAATCCATCTTAAAATCCTGTTTCCTCAGGCTCAGTCCTTTCATAGTGCTCCCCGTTTTCAAACAATGGCGTCCGAGCGGACGGACGAGCAGACGGACGAGGAAAACTATTCTGAAGGCATAGAGAAGATGTTTGGCCAAAAAATCTCGCTCGATCCAGATGTAAAATACGTCATAGACGAAGGGGTTAAGGAGTCAAGATGGATGGACCCCGAGAAAAGAGCACAAGTAATTGAAACTGCAGGATATTTGGCTTACGACATAATAATTGTCGAGCGCCTAGGAGATCATGCAGATGCCGAGGTAGCCAAGGGAGCGAAACAGGCAGCTGAAAACTGCATAAAAAAACGTTTGGAGGAGATGAAATGTCGAAGTATTGAAGAAACCTCACATGTACCACTATCGCAAAAAAAAGCCTTTGATCAAGAAGGTATCGGATATGCAAAATTGCTCGAGGAAGCGATGGAGGCCGCTGAAAAGTACAAAGGGTATAATAATGATGAGGAAAAACCATCAGCAAACGAAGAACCCTTACAAATGCTGCCGAAAGAAACTTTTAATAAGGCGGCTTTTGCATCTAACACGTCAGTCAAAGAGATCAGTCGCGCAAATATGAGAAAAGAAAGCGCGAAAAAAAAGTGCGAAAAGAAAAAGAAGACCAAAAGAAAATGAGGAGAGAGAGGGCCAAAGATATGTTAATCTTTTCACTCTCGCGATATTATTAGTCATTCTCCCTACAATTCTTACGATCACCGATTACGATGTTAGCTTTTACTCTCCAAAGTTATTCTCACCTCACCTGTCTGTTTTATTTTGCATTGAGAAATTCTCTCTTTGTCAATCATGGGAGGGTTAAACGAGAGTGTTCTATCTTTTTTTGGTTTAATTGTTCCGGTGAGTATACAGACGCACGCGCTCTGATTGGTCGAAGATTGCGTCATATATCACCTCGCGCGAAGTGATTATGGCGAGGTGATCATGACAGGAGCGCTAAATTTTTATAATTTAAATGGCTGCCTTTTGTTTAGTCAGTGTTACCGAGGAACTGATGATCGCGATAAAAAGATTCATCTCCGAGGAGCACGAAAGATGCTAATAAGTTTGGAGTACCCACTCTTTAAAAGAAAGATATCAAGTAGTTGCTGACTGAATTAAAATAAACCTCTTAATTCTCGTGGAAACGACCTTTTTATAAGAGTAATGAAAATACTGAATTCAAACAGAATGCTTTCAGCATCAAACAGATATTTACAACATAATCAGAAAGCACCTAAGCAATTGTATCCGAAATATTGTTCAGCTGCCGGCGACTTTAATTGTTAAAAAGCGACATCCTAGAAAGGTGTGTCGGAAACCTTACGGAATAAATACGCTGAAAGGATTTTGAGGTTTCTGAAAAAGGATGTCAATAGTTGGATTTATTAGCTTTCTCCCAACGATATTTAGTCCTCCAGCATTTCTTCAAACTCATCATTTTCACGATTTAAAAGATCACATTGAAGATTCGACGGAACTGCCCCCAAAGGCGAGAAATACTTTTTAAACTGTTACAAGGATTTTGAAAAAGCCCAAGAAGATCGATCCAAATCCAGCTTCACGCTACTGTCTTAGACATGCCTGAACTTTTAGAGAAAATGAGAAGAAACATTAATACTATTATTAATATTAATACGATATTAATACGATGGTGTACACGTTCATTTTCGTAACGAGCTCTGCCCGATTTTTATTCGGGGATTATCGACCTTTTATTTTCATTCATTAATAAAGTTGAGTTATCTTTTCAGAAAAGGCCTATTGTGTTTATGGGATAAGAAAAATATGGTAATACGTGGTTGCTTGTAGATAAGAAATTTATCTTCTCGTGTTGAACTCGACAACTCAATCGTGCGCTTCGCTCACTTGTGAGCTATCGAGTTAAACACTCGAAGAGGTATTCTATATCTACGGGCGCCCATATATTATTCCCTGTCGTTTATTACTATTATTATTATTATTATTATTATTATTATTATTGTTATCATTATTATTATTTTCAAAGGAACATGGTTTGTTTGTAGACTATCAGGCTGGTGGACAACGAAAGCTGACTCTGAAATATTGTATATTATACTTCTATCGCTGCGTGCATATGGTGAGGGAGATGTTTGAAGCCATACCTCATCTCACTGAGAATAGAAATGTTGGCCTTAAAAGATTAAAACGAGTTGAACTTGGAACTACCCCGTCAAACTCGAAATAACTCCTTACTCAGTTTATTTTGGAGAAGTTTGTGGCCACTGAAACTTCTTTTCTATACTCTCTTAATTAAGTAGATCACAATCTATCAAATTAAGCAACTGTGCTCGTTAGGAATGAGACCATTAATGAGGGTTTCTATAAGCCTATCCGACTACTAATTTGTAAACGCGTCGAGACATCTTCTAAGACATACATATCCTTCGCAGTATCCGACTTCCGGCGTTCATGAAGTTTAAGTAACCTTTCTGATAGATTAGAATTGTTACTAACAGTAGAGGTAGCACCTTCGGTTCTTAAACTATGAAAGCCATACATGTTATGATCTAAACTGAGTTCTTTTAAGACAATCCTTAAAGATTTCCCTACACCTAGTGTATGACAACTTCTCTCCATACAACTTGTACTCACTAGTAGATTTAAACTGCCTTACTGGCCTGAACGGTGTAACTGAGCTGGAGAGATTAATATCTCTTATCCAAATATACCTTTCTAAAAGTGCCACGGGACAATAACTGTTACCTAGCCTCCCTTCCCGGAAAACATAATTCTTCGTCATGGGAACAAACACCCTCAAGGATTCAGGACAAAACTTTAAATGTGCGGGAGCAATGTTGTTCAGCTCATCATAACGGAAAAACCGTCCAAAACCTAACGAGCAAATACAAGCTAAACGTAAATCCTTTAAATTAGCCGATGGACTAGCATACTTATCAATTATACTTCTATTAATATCGGCAGGAATAGATGCCTTCTTAACAGTAACTAGCTTGCAATGTTTAGCCGCTTCCAGCAAATTATGACAAACTGAACCATGAAGTGGATTGTTGTAAGAAAAGAAAGAATGAAACCCATTAGGGGTTGCGTGAGACAAAAGTAATGGGGCATAGGAGTTTGAAATTTTGTACGCTTTATAGATATACGAAACTGCGAGGGAGAGAGAGTAAGGAGGCATCGGCCTAACATTGGACAAATTACACCATCACGAAACCTAAGAATCTCTTTCTTGTATCTCTTCGATGTAGACTCGCTTTAGATCTCAGTAGCGTAAAGAGAATATTTTTCAAGTCTGGCGTTATCCGAGCCGGAAGATGATTCCAATGGCCATCCACATCAAACATCTACAACGAGAAAAACCCTATGGTAATAGACAACATGCTCGTTAAACCTCCCGTTCTCGTTTCAAATTGACTGTCATAAATGCTGTCGGCAAGCGCCAGTTCCTACAAAAATCTTCCATCTTCAACTCAGGCCAGCGCCCCCACTCTCTGTACACACTCAATGACAAGTGTCTCATGTCTCTTTTTCCTGCTCAACACGTAGACAGTCAACTAAGCACTACTGATTAAATTATCTAAAAGCATGAGAAGAAAAAGAGAACTTCATACGAGCAGTTAAAACTAGCCCAGTGAATCTGCCAACACCCAAGAACGAAATTGGTGTTCCGCCCATGCTCTAATCCATCCTTAGCATCGAACCACTTATAATCCTCTATGGAACTGGCAAAGTTTCTGGAGATAATTCGTCAAAAATATGATGATGGCCACAAGGGTACAACTAAAGTGGCGGTGGCCTTGGAACCAGATTAGGGTTTAGGGTTTTTAGATTTTGAACGAAAAAACCCACCCCATTGCAGCCGAGATTCCAGAGTCTAGAGAAGCATTTTCCGATCTTCTTATCATAAAATCTAGCAAAGCAATTTACGGTATGAACCCCCTCCCCCCCCAAGTATGTGTCTAGAGACGCGAAGCAAGCGGCCGGCATTTTCCAATCGTCTACATCGATAATGCGACTAATATAATCCGCTCTGTCAATTTAAGAACGAGGAATTCAATGGACTTTCAATACAATGTTATAATCGCCACAAAACTGAAAAATCTCCATGGCGATTAAGCGCAAATCGCTCCTCATGCTTCCTACTTATAAAATTTTACAAGCATTTTGACCATCAGAAAACCACCTCACGTAAGAGCCTTTAACGGGGGGCAAAAACGATTGCAGGGCGAACGAAATAGCTGACAGCTCCTTCCAAGTGGAAACTTTACCACAATCATTTACATCCCATAACTTATGACATACTTGTTCACTGTTGACATCTAAGTGAGCGCATCACCCTGTGGCGCTAGCATTGGAATAAACTACGTAATTAGATGTTTCAGACGGGCAATCCACAACTGAATTCAAGTTTAATTGTGTCAAATTCTCTTTCCAAAAATTAAGTTCCCTAACACAGTATTGACCCATATGAACTTAGAATCCCATTCCTGAGAGGACGCAACCGATATAGAACAGTACCTAGTCATAATTCGGGAAATGTTGCCAAAAACTACCCCAGCGGAAATAATTTTACCCACTGGGGAAGATAATTCCCGAGCCGACACGAGATAATCTTTAAGGAGGATCCTGCCTACAGATTTCGCGATGCCTAATTCCCGTCTGTTCGAAACACGAATTAAAACGGGCGGGCTGGTGGGGAATGAAGGAACGTCAGTGGAAAGCGAGAGGGGGAGGACGTGATAATACTCTGTAACGCCTTCAATACTTAAAAAAAAATACCCAGTCAGGAAACTCTTAGAGACACGCCTAACGGCGTGTCACAATAACCAACGAATAACGAGCTATAAAGGTGAAAGAAAACTGCATACCAGCGGAAAATAAATTTCTAAATCGCTACGCTCAAACAAAAGTAAATTACTCTCCCCTTCAATTCTGAAAAGACATAACTTAACAGCCTGATGGTTGATTGCTCAGGCAATCCAACCAACGCGAGACTTCACAAAGTAAAACATTAAGGGATCTTACTGCGGAAAAGCTGAGAATCACTACCGGACTTAAATTTTTCCATCGCATTACCACCGATGCCTTTAACTTCTTTTCTTTTCCTCTCCATAGCCCTCTTTGCCTTGCGAAGCTTTTTCTCATCCTTTGAATCAGCCGCGAGATCGTCGGACTCGTACTCTTGAACCAAACGCCAACCCTCCTTGTTTCTATCGGCAATCTTGATCAGCGTCTGACGCTTCTTGACTAGCTAGCCTTCGGCGACTAACTTGAGAACCTCGCATGGGTTCTTGAAGCTGCCTGCAATTTGGGTCAAAATGCTATTCAAGTGCGAATTCAACTCGAACTGCTTTCTATTTCCCTTAAACTTAATCGTAGAAGCTTATTTTCCGATTTTGGGGACTTCCTCCAACTGTTTGCCTTTTTCCTCCAATTGGGAAGTGGAGTATCCCTTAAAAAGCGAGAACACTTTGTTTTCTAACTGAGAATTCGGGAATGAATGAAGGAACGTTAGCGGAAAGCAAGAGCGAGAGGACGCGATAATACTCTGTTACGCCGTAAGAGTGGTCGTCTGTAAAAATCGAGCAGAGGTGTTGAAAATAAAAAAAAAATTGAAATTTTTTTCCAGAACATCGGCATGAATGGCCTTAGTTACGGCAAAATATCAAAAATGGCGAAAAAAAAAATTTTGTATAATATGTATATTGAATATGAAGGAGACCTCTTTCGAAGTTTGGTATGATATAAGAGGGAATTCGAGCGTTTTGGTAATGCTTTTTCTTGAAGTGACGTGCTAGTCACGTCGGTCACGTAACGTGCTTCTTGAGCTCAAATACGCTTATATAAATCGCTCTAAAAATTCGTAGTTTAAGTAGCCCAGAGATTTTATTTTTGATATTTTTCCGTAACTAAGGCCATTCATAGCTATGTTCTGAAAAAAGTTTGAAAAAATTTTCAATTTCTTTTTATTTTCAACACCTCTGCTCGATTTTTACAGACGACTACTCTTAAATACTAAAAACAAAACTATCCTATCATGAAACCCTTCGAGAAACGCCTCTCGGCGTGTCGCAATAATCAAAAAATAACGAGCTATAAAGGTGTAAGAAAACTGTATACCAGCGGAAAATTCAAATTTTACCGTGTAAGAAAATAATCATAACATTAATTATCATCATAAAATACCAACAAGAAAGATAAAAATGATAGTAATCGTGAATAATAATCGAAACAATTGTAATGTCAAAAAAACTAAAGTTATTCGCTGCAATTCAAGTGATATGATACAACAAAGTCGTTCACCAGACGAGTTCTGTGTTGGTCGGTGATACTCCAACTGGATTTGCTTGGTCAGTACCGTAACGAAAAAAAGAAAAATCCTTAAAGTTGCCATTCTTTGTTTTGCCTGGGAAACTTCTTAGAAGAATTTGTACGTTCATGAGGATTCCTACAAATTGGTTTCCCAAGGTTGTTGAGAAAGGTAGATAAGAGAAACAAATGATTTATGACATTTATGTTAATAAAAACCTCCTAACTGACTTTCATGTTTCCGTGTTAGACTGAGCCGAAGAATATAGGTGACTTCGCGTCTCACTGCTGGAGTAGTTTGAGACGGATTTGTAACCTGGCAATGTATAAAGAATACTTCAAAATCAATTAATGTTCTGATCAAAGTCCGAAAAAGACCGAAACGACATTCATAGACTAATCATGGGGTTTCCTAAAAACAAAATTTTACTTCTAGATAGAAAGTGAGCTTATGAATAAAATTGAGGCTTTTTTTTTCTTTTTTTTCCAGAAAAAGGCAAGTTCAGTAATCGTCTTGAGCGTTAGAACGAGGGATATCTTCGACGAGAGATAGGATTTTACTTCGAAAAGAAAAGACAAAGACTGCTACAGAGCTTATGGAAGTCCTTGAATAGTTTGTGATGAACTTGTAAACGGGCAAGATTATAAAGAATAACGAAAAATCAATTAATACTCTGATCGAAGTCCGAAAAAGACCGAAACGACATTCATAGACTAATCAAGGGGTTTCCTAGAAACAAGTTTTCATTTCTGTGAAAAAGGAAAAGCTGAATGCAAATTCAAGTCAATTCAAAGTCCTCAAGGCTTTTATTGTTGACTCAAAACATGTTTATTGTCATTAATAACGAAATCTTTGCTCCTCTAAACCGTCAGTTGTCTCCCTCTTTATATGAGAAAAAATGCTAGAACTGTGTAACAATTGATATAAATAACATTAGTCATTGCGGATCTAAAAACATTGGCAAGAAGATTTTCAAACAAATTCTAGACTTAGTACTTATTACTATTAGGAGGATTTCTCTTCTTATAATCCAATTATTCCAATGTGAGCTCAAACGATACCTTTCCTTAGATTTTTAAAATTTAGAAACTACAAGAAACAGTGCCTCTGAAGTCAACCCAATTGATATCCTTTAGAGAAATAAGAATAACGAAGAGTATCACAACATAGTGGGACTCAATGGGCCATGTGTTTTGTTTACTTCAAAGAAAGATCGAGTAACCCATGTGTTATAACGAAGTTTTACTTCAGTTTCTGTAATTAACAGCAAAGTTTCCTTTCAAATTGTTACTGTTATGGTGCCTTTGCCTTTCTTTCTGGGATAGCTTAAATCAATCGCATCATACAGTGTTACTGCTACACATATTCCCCAACAAAATTTGAGGATTAGTAGATAAAAAATTGTATGAAACGACGTGGCTCCTTTCAAATCGTGACCCCATAGTGCTGATTCGAAACGAGCACGGGCCATGTCGCTGAAAATCAGCACCGAACATGTTGCAACAAAAACGATAACGAGTAAGGACTTCTTGTTTTCTGTCCAAGCTCTCCACGACCGTAACAAGAAACGTGAATCCATCGCGGCGTCTGATTTTGGTGACATGATCTCCTCGTTGCTCTCAGTATCGTCTTTAGCCAAGGTTACGGAAACCAAATAGAAGTCAATAGATATGGTCAAAATCAACGTAACTTTAAGGACGACTTGAAAAATGGGCGTTTGCAGTAAGCAATGGTGGCAAAAGATCATTGCAGAAGCGATGAATCTCAGAAGAAGCATCGCGTACAATGAAAGGCAAGAAAATGTTTTATGTTCTTCATGTACTGAGGGATGTTCATAGCACACTTTCATGATTGCCATCAGGTTACTA